AAATTATTTTATTGCTCACGAAACAAACAACCACTCATAATTAGAAAATTAAGTCTCATTTAAATATTGGCCTCCCTTCAATGGTCGAGCCATTGATGCCAGCTAAAACACACAAATATTTAACAAAAATAATATTAAAGTAGCCAAGATATAGCCAAATATTGTAATACCACATCACTAGCGGACATTTGAAATTTGCCGACTAGAACGGTCAGTTAACTGATGTGACAGTTAATCAGGGGTCGGATAATCGATGCTCTACTGTATTTATATTATTGTATAATTTTTATTATATTATAATATTACATTGTAAATACATATATTACAACTCATATAAAGTTAAACATGACAAAATTTTAATAGATAACAATATTTAATTTACAAATAACAAAAATCCTCTTTTTCTTCTAATATCAAAAAAATTTATTATGATGATAAAATAAAAACTATTAGAGATAAACTAATTGTACTTAATAAAAGAAAAAGACAGATTTGTGGGAAAAATTAATTGGAGTGGAAATACAACATTTTCTTCTGTTTGAAAACACTTGTTCAGTCAAAACCAAATAATGACAATTGTCTTACAAGATATACATTTTCTTAACCTGATTTCTTTTTACTTATTTTTTTCTTTCAAATTATCTAAACTAGAAGTCTACCATTAACTCAAACTCAAAATTTTTAATTCAGTTTCAACAGTGTTTAGAAATCTCTCTTTCTCTCACAAACCTCTGCCATTAAATTTCTTTTCCTTTGTTCTCAAGGCCTGTAGGTCTAGCTTTCCTTTGCCTTCTAAGTACTTCTTTTTCTAGCTCATCTTTATTGGCCAAAGGCTAAAATTCAATTTCTCTCTTAATCATTCTTTAAACTTTCTCTTTACTTTTACTCATATGATTTTTTTCTGTAAGCACTCAATTTTAGTTTCAATTATACAATAGTTGTTTGAAACTTCTATTATCGTACATATACATATACTTAACACCTTATTCTTGCCGAGAAATATAATTTATTTGAAACAAACAAACGTTTTCAGCCTGATTCACAGGCCATCTTCAGGTTTAGAATACATTTGAATTAAAATTCCATCAATGGAATACAAAATTCAAATTCAAAATTAAATACGGTACAATTAAAACAAAATATTAAATAACCAACATAAAACAAAAAAACCAAAATATAAAAAACAAAAAATATATAAAACTGCAACAAATGAATATATAAGTATTAATAAATGCAATTACTAAGACATTCAATAAAACTACTATATTGATTGGTTAGAGCCTTTATCAAACTTCTTAACCATAAACTTCCATGCAGAGGGAAGACTTTCTGCGTCCCTCGCATTCAGACAGCCTTCTTGTAATCTACTCCGATAAATCTGCAACTTTTCCGCTGTCAACGCCAAAGATGGAGAAGATAAAGGATGTCATCTATTCCGTTAAATTCTATAAAACGCGTGTTCATTATTTAATCCAATGCATTTTCGAAAGGTTTTCCTTGTCTGAATTTATTCTTTTATTTATTCTTCTAATTTAATTTCTATTCAATATGTAACCGATTCAGACACCGTTATTTTCTAGGAATAATCACATTCATAAATTCTCAAATATACTATTCAATCAACCACTCTATTTCCATTGGAAATAGATATCGGAAATTATAATATTTACTTCCTCGGTAGACATTATTATTTCATAAAAGCTAAACAAAGCACAAACACATTTTAATACCCCAAGAAAATTTTTCAATATTCAAATCGTCATTCTTTATTTCCATAATAAAATAATTTTTTTTTATTTAAAAAAACTCTTTGTTTTTTTAATTCTGAACTGGGTTCATATTACATTAAATATTATTGATTCGGATCAATATGCGTATAGTTTTCGCTTTCTTTTCAGAGACTTTTTCCAACACCACCATCGATGAATGAATTTCGCAATGAGCAACAAGAGAATTCCGGCTATTGTACCCAAAAATGCATACCCATTAAAAGGTATACCGCCAATTATCGGGCATATAATACCAGATATACGTTTTGAGATTGAATAACGAGTGGATTTCTGGACATCGAAGGGAAGATTGCCAAAATACTCGAAAATTGCACGTAATCCCCATTCAGATTTTCTTTTTTTACAACATAAACGGTCGTATATAGTTTGCATGAAGGTACGTTCTAGAAAAGTAATCAAATTAAATTAAATAAACTGTTTGAAGTAACTTTAGAAAATCACAAATATAATCACTTACCATCGGGGAAATAATCTTGCATAAATTCATTTATTAAATTACATTCTCGCTTGTTGAAATCATAGGTTATCAAGCAAGACAGCCACGAATCGTTGTCATCAGAACAAAATGTTCCCTCGAAGTAGTTTTCGACTTTAAGTTTGAGGCAACCCCAAAATCCCACTCTGCCTCTTTCAAATATTCTTGCGCAGGCAGGTTCACCTAATTGTGAGAATTTATAAGTCAGAAACGTTTTCTATTCAGAATTATTATAGTAACTTAATGTACAGTACTTACTGCGAATAATAAGAGATTTCAAACCGTATCCAGTTATAACTATTAGACAGGCGATAGTGAATATCCCTTTGAAAAGCATTCTGAACGTTCTCTAGTTGTTAAAAAGCAAGAATTTATCGTAAACAATAGCTTTTAAATTGTTTTGATCTTTACAATTAAATTGATTATTGTTAGGTAAATACGTTTACCTAACAATAATATTCTTTAACGTAATTAGTATCCGTAAATGTACTTTAACGCTTTAATTGGTCCTGTTTTTTCAATATTGGGGTTTAGAGACATTGGTCATTATGGATGATGGGGTGCGGATACCTCTATTATATACTAAAGTGCATTTACACACACACAAGTCATGATTAAATTTTACATTTGGTTATGTTTATCGGGTCTAAGAGGCGAGAAGAATAGTGAATTTTAAAAATGTTGGGAGATAAGCACCCTTATCAAATATACCATGTTTCCCCGAAAATAAGACAGTGTCTTATATTAATTTTTGCTCTGAAAGGTGCGCTAGGTCTTATTTTCAGGGAATGTCTTATTTTTTCCAGGAAGAATTCACATTCATTATTGAACAAAAAAATACCCAAGTCGAACTTAGTCGAGAGTGACGTGTATCCGATGTGTTGAACTGTCGCCTTTTTATAGCGTCAACATCGGACTCGATGACCAATTAGTGCTTACTGAACCGTAGCACTATGCAAATGTTATGTGGCGTGATTTCCGGCCAACCAATTAGCCATCATCAGCCCAAACGTTATGCAAATCTGTGATTCCCAAGCCATAGTCTTATGCAAATCATGCCGTGTGGCGTAATTGTCTGCTGACCAATCAGTGGCTGTATTTTCTAAAAGCCAACGGCCACTTTCAACCATCTGTCGATCACCGTTACGACTAAAAATAAACTTCGCTAGGTTTTACTTTCAGAGGGAGGTCTTATATTTCGCATTCAGCAAAATCTGTGCTAGGTCTTATTTTCTGGGGATGTCTTATTTTCGGGGAAATACGGTAGTACAGTACATGGTGAAAATAATTAAATTTTACTGGGGGGCGCTGTTGAGTAACCTCGGCTGCTGGTGACTTTTTTTTGGAGATTTTGTTAACTCTTTTTTTATTGTAAATTACTGGGTTTTTTTATTTATTTGCTACCTAAGTTGGTGCATTTTTTTGCTCAATTGTGTTATTCAGTGTCATTAGTTCTATTTTTTTTTTGGATATGTTCCCACGTACTCCTCCAGAAGCGTTAAAGCAAACCCATGAAGAACGGAAGGGAACTAAACATCATCGTTCACCGAGTGATCCTGGTGTAAAATATCCAAAGTTAGAACATTATTTTAAGAGGCAATCTCCTTCGGACTCAGATAGAGAAGAATTGTTAACTTTACGGCAATATTTGGAGACGACTTTAAATGCAGTAATGATGCAGTTGAAGNGAATTATTATAGTAACTTAATGTAAAGTACTTACTGCGAATAATAAGAGATTTCAAACCGTATCCAGTTATTACTATTAGACAGACGATAGTAAATATCCCTTTAAAAAGCATTTTGAACGTTCTCTAGTTGTTAAAATGCAAGAATTTATCGTAAACAATAGCTTTTAAATTGTTTTGATCTGTACAATTAAATTGATTATTGTAAACAATACGTTTACCTAACAATAATATTTTTTGACGTAATTAGTATCCGTAAATGTACTTTAACGCTTTAATTGGTTTTGTTTTTTTAAGATTGGGGTTTCGAGATATTGGTCATTATGGATGATGGGGTGGGGATACCCCTATTATATACTAAAGTGCATTTACACACACACAAATCTTGATTAAATTCTACATTTGGTTATGTTTATCGGGTCTAAGAGGCGAGAAGTATAGTGAATTTTAAAAATGTTGGGAGATAAGCACCCTTACCAAATATAGTACAGTACATGGTGAGGATAATTAAATTTTACTTTCGATAATATTCATTGCTACATCCGAAGTAATTTTCTTCGAAAGAAAATTGTTTTCTTAGATAGTGTATAAATTTTCAAGATTTTTTGTAAAGCGGTTGCTAAAATATAAGCAATTGAAAAGTGCGAGAATAGGCAAAAGAAAATGTTTTGTTATTTTTCTTAATCCGGCACCACAGATGCTGCTAGATAAGAAATTACTGTGTCTAATACGCTCAAACTGTAGACTTTAGCCTTCCTTCTTATCAGTGAGGTTCTGGCGAACCTTTCAGATAGATTGGTCAAAGTTTACAGCGATTTCCTCTTAAAGATATTAAAGTATTTACGAAACTATTAAATTAAGAAGTGCTTTTTAATTTTGTAATTTTAATTTTTACCGTTTCTGTATTATCGTTATTCACAATTTTAGTATCAAAGCCAGATTCCGAAGCCAAAGCCAGTTGTTTAATCCACGTAACCTTGTTACACCGATCGGCGTGTAGCTATTTGTATTTCATATTAAGAATTTTCTTGTATATTAAGTTTATAGTCGGGAACCTCTGCTGTTTTCAAGGAGGCAAGAATAAGCCATAGTCTTCATCCTTTTTCTGGTTCATATCTCCTACCTACTCTAAGGTACTTAAATTTGGTTAAAAGCTTAGCTGCCATTCAGAAATCTCTCAATAATAATGTATCAGGTGGTAGTCATGCGGTGCTGATAAATCCTAAACAGGCCGAAGAAAACACTCCAACGAACATGAAGGAGGTAGCTAATACCATCATGCAGAAGTCTGAACTGAGTAAGCTCAGGGTACAGGTTAAAACGGTGAGGGAGATCAAGGGTGATGGTTAATAATGTGAAAATAGATGATTCTGAAATTTTAATCCTTTTTATTTATTTCCACTCATTTGCTTCTAGTTTATAATAAATTTTGTGTAATTATATGCATCATATTTTTATTATAAACTGCAAATTAATATTTGTATACTTGCACTATTATTTATGTTAAGTATATAATATATAACATTATTAATAAATTATAACTCGAAATTCATGCCGAAGAGATGTAGGCTTTTCTGTCAAAAATAGTCTTGCTATGCTAGAAACCCAACTTCACGGCGCATATATTTCGTAGTTGCATTTGTAAGAAATATATAAATATATAACACCGGGTATAGAATTTAAACTTTGTATAAATATATTTTGATTTTAAAGCGCTTAAATCATTTTAAGTATACAATTTTATTGCACGAAATTAGTTCCATAATGAAGCAATAATTGAAAAATTGTATGCAAACAGAATTTTATTACAGTCAAATTAAATAATTAAAACTACATTAAAGTATTTATTGGAAGAGAATTAATTGGTTTAAGCATTAAAATGAATCAGAATTTATAAAATATTGTTTAAAAGTTCTTAAACATTAAAAGTGTACAGTACAAACTGCATTTTCTCTATATTTTATGTATCATTTATAGCAGCGCTGTCCAACTGGCGGCCCGCGGGCCGTATACGGCCCGTTAAATAATTTTTACGGCCCGCGAGTACATTTTACTATGAATAAATTTATGTTACTAAATTATTATTATTAATAAAATTATTTTACTACCGTGTTTCCCCGAAAATAAGACAGTGTCTTATATTAATTTTTGCTCTGAAAAATGCGCTAGGTCTTATTTTCAGGGAATGTCTTATTTTTTCCAGGAAGAAGAATTCACATTTATTATTGAACAAAATAATTCCCAAGTCGAACTTAGACGAGAGTGACGTATATCCGGTGTGTCGAACTGTCGCCTTTTTATAGCGTTAACATCGGACTCGCTGACCAATTTGTGCTTACTGAACCGTAGCACTATGCAAATGTCGTGTGGTTTATTAACCTTCTTGGCCCCCAAAATGTTTGATAAAAAAAATATGGCCCGCGGACTATGATAAGTTGGACAGCGCTGATTTATAGGGTATCATACAAGCCATTTATATTTATGAAATTTCTTTTCACCTTAATTATTACATTATTTAATTATTTACTTGTTTTCTTCCTCTTATACACATAATTTTTAAATGGAAAATAAATGTTTTACTATCTTTCATTGCTTCTTCTTCAATCTCTGTAATTAATAAATTGTTCAACTTATGCCCATTGAAGAAATTAAATTGAAGAATGATTAAATTTTATGTAAATAAAGGAGAAAACAAGCAAGTAAAGGTTTTACATTAAGCACGAATGCTGTTAAATCATTTATAACCTCTTGAATTCGGAAGATAAAAGACTTTGTTGTTCAATCAATGAGGTGCATCATTATATGAGGATCCTACAGCAAAAAATTGGACTTAATTGTAGTTTAAAATATCTGCACAGTCTTATGCTTAAGATAAAATTAAGTAATATAGTTCTCTTACCTTATTATTGAGGAAATCTAGAAAAATGTCTTGTAGGTCGATTATAATATCTTGGAGAGGGATTACATCTTGAATAAGGATTATTACATCTTGAATTTGGATTATTATATCTTGAGAAAGGATCATTATATCTTGAAAATGGATTATTATATCTTGAATATGGATTATTATATCTTGAAAATGGATTATTATATCTTGAATATGGATTATTATATCTTGAATATGGATTATTATATCTTGAAGGCATATAAAATTTTGGACGATTAGAGGGACGTGACATAATTCTTGCTAAGAATGGATTACGTCCTGAAACGTTTGTTTATAGAGAATATATTAGTATATATGTTCAAGTTACCACTACCTACTAAGTGCATAAACTGTAACTTACCTATCATCATCGGTCTAGGTCTCTTAATGTATCCAAATGTATTTCTTACAGGTTGAAATGAAATATGACGTTTCTTCACATTTATTTCCGAGTCGCTTTGTTCTTTCATATCATCGTCACCATATTTTTCATCAACAACACTACCATCATCAGCCCAACAGAGAGTACAACAGAGAACTATTATTAAAGTTATCAAGAACTTCATATTGTTTCTGTTAGGACAATGGTCTGTCGCCATTCCTTTTATACCTTTCTTATTTGTTAAAATACGTAAATAAATCATTCTATATTAAAAATTTAATACGTTTAGCAATCACTATTGGGTAATCATTTGTATAGTCACACATTAAAATAATACAAGACTTGGAATAAATTAATTTTTATTAGTCAAATTGTTAAAATGAAGGTTTGTTCGTGACTAAAGATGTAATTTTAATTTTCTGCATAATTTAAATTAATTTTCTCCTTGTATATAATTTACTTAAGCTATTATTTTTCATTGTTTTCTTGAAAATAGCTACCGAATATATTAAGTTTCGAGTCATTTGACGAATTGTTGCTTTTATAATATTATTAAATTTTAGCTTTTAAAGATAAAAATAGAAGAAAAATAAAGAAATTAAAATTTGCNTATACCGATTATTTATAGACAATAAACTTAATAATATTTTTATATAATATATTTATAGGATGTGATAAACATAATCCAAATAAATAAGCATATCTATTTTCTTTGTTGAAATTTATTCAGACAATTAATTGTTATGTGATTTTATTTCGAAAGTCAAATTTTTGAAGATGTAATTAGCATTTACATTATGAAAATCGTGTAATGAGAAGCATATTTCATTTACTTTTCTTATAACATCATGATATCATTGCCTTGTCTCTTTTCTTTGATTCTTTCTTCCATTGTCTTTTCCTGTTCTGGACTGAAATAATTCTTCCAATCTCTCTTTACGAATGAAACTTCCTTCCGTCTTTATTCCAAGAGAAGGATTCTTTTTCAAATATTTGTGATATTCTTTTAATTTCGGCGGAACATTCACATTTTTCCAGTTTACTGTTGTATCATTAAATAAATGATTAATGTCATCACTTATCGGTTTTTACATATAACATATGCTAATGTATTCAAATATTTTATTTTCGTATGTTGTAAAGTAAACGTTGGAATCGTTTATATGTTCAAACGTATGGTCTGAATAGTGTCTAAAATGTGTCTGTTTATTTACAAATAAATCAAAGTATTCACGGGACGTATTATCTGTAAAATTATAACGTACTGTACTGTACAATGAATTTGGTATGGTGATAAAAAGTCATGCAACAGTCTTTAGGATTTCGTGTCACATATATATATAATTTGAAATTCGAATTTGAAACAAATTGAAATTTTAAAAATTTGAAAAAATTTCGAATCTGAATTTGACTCGAAGTGAAAAAATATTCCCAGCGGTTGCTCAATATTTACTTAAAAGAGAAATCAACAAATTAAACATTTTTAGTGATAAGTGTCTCCATGTAAGGAGCGGCTGATTATTACAGGGGAAGGCAACGGAATACCATTCCTTAATCTATTCCCAGGATAACACTATGGAGAGGAAACCTACATCAATGGCCCCTGGTCCCAGGCAGCCCTTAGATGGGCGAGGAGTGCGAAGAATCTCCCGGCTCAACATAGTGAAATCAAAAATCCGTATCGCCACATGGAATGTGAGAAGCCTTTTTATGGCCGGTAAGTTTGACAATGTAATTAAAAAAACCCAAAGATTAAAAATAGATATTCTAGGCATTAGTGAATTACGTTGGCTTGGTTCTGGAGTATGCCAAAATGAGCACGGAACGCTTTACTATTCAGGAAACAATGACCAAGACCAATACCACCGAAATGGGGTAGGGATATTTGTTTCTGCAAAACATACGCGATGTGTTATCGGCCATTCACCAATATCGGATAGGCTGATGATACTTCAAATACATGGTCAACCTTTCAGGATTAATATTATACAAGTATACGCCCCAACATTTAATAATGAAGACGAGCTGGAAGACTTATACAACTCTATCGATAAGATACTTGGCAAATTAAAAAAGGATGATATCACCATGATTATTGGTGATTACAACGCTAAAGTTGGCATGGGAAGACGAGAAGATCTGATAGGAGACTTTGGGTTGGGTCTAAGCAATGAGAAAGGTGACAGACTTTTTGAATTTTGCCAGGAAAATGATATGGTAATTACGAACACTTGGTTTAAATTACCAAAAAGAAGACTTTACACCTGGAAATCACCTGCTGATAAAAATCAAACACCAATTAGAAACCAGATAGACTATATACTCATTAACAAACGTCACAGAAACTGCGTAACACGGGTGACAACATTCCCTGCCGCAGATATTGGTTCTGACCATGTTCCACTGGTGACAGACATCAAACTAAAATTAAAGGCAATTAAACCAAAGTGCAGAAGCCAACACTATGATATTACGAAAATAGAAATACCACAATTTAGAAAACAAGTAGAAGAAAAATTGAATAAGGAGCTGGGCAACTAGAAAGATAATAATCATTCTGACGTACAAACACTATGGGAAGATCTGAGGGACATCTTGATCAAAGTCTGTCACAAAAACCTAAAATCAACCTGTAAAGTCAAGAAGAAAAGATGGATGACGGATGAGATACTGGACTTAATGGAAAAACGAAGACTAACAAAAAATGACGCAGAAACTTACAAACGTATCAATGACGTTATAAAGGTAGAGATAAAAAAGGCCAAGAAGGAATGGATAAAGAGAAACTGCAACGAAATTGAAAACCTCGAAAAAGAACATGATATGTTCCAGATGCATAAGAAAATCAAAAAAATGACGGGTTCATTCAAGTGTCATCGCTCTAATATAGTAATGGATGCTAATAACAGTCCTATTATTGATGAAAATGAACTGAAAAACACGTGGAAACATTACGTTGAAAAACTTTTTGACGAGGAAAGACCAACACTTATAAATAAAGACCCAGTAGAAGGTCCTGAAATACTCGATGAAGAAGTAAAGCATGCCATTCATATCGCAAAGAATAAGAAAACTCCCGGAGCTGACGAAATCCCGACTGAAATTGTGAAATTGATCGATGATGATAATATTAAACTAATTACTAGATTATTCAATCGGATCTACAATACTGGCACAATACCAAAAGACTGGTTAAAATCAACCTTTGTAACAATCCCTAAAACAAGTCATTTTAAAAGTTGTAGCGACTACAGACTCATTAGTCTCATGTGCCATGTTCTGAAGATGTTTCTACATATTATAGACGCCAGGATATATAAAAAATGTGAAGTTGATCTCGAGGAAACTCAATTTGGATTCAGAAATGCTTTTGGAACCTGAAAAGCGTTGTTTAGTATCAACGTCCTTTTCCAGAGATGTCGTGAACAACAAAAAGACATATTTGCTTGTTTTATCGACTATCAAAAAGCTTTCGATAGTGTGAAACACTCCAAATTAATAGAGATCCTACACCAAGTTCAATTAGATGGCAAGGACATCAGAATAAATCAAAATTTATACTGGGGTCAAACAGCAGAAGTCAAGTTAGGAACAATGAAAACAGCAGAAATTGAAATACAGAGAGGAGTCCGGCAGGGCTGCATTCTTTTGCCCTTATTGTTTAATCTGTACTCAGACAAAATCTTCAAAAATGCCTTAGAAAACTCAAATTATGGGATTAAAATCAACGGCGTAATTCTTAACGTCATTAGATATGCTGATGATACACTAATCATATGCGACAGCCTAGAAGGCTTACAGGTACTACTAAACAAAATTAACTCAGCAGGAATTGATGCCGGTCTCAAAATAAATGCAAACAAAACTAAATTTATGATTTTTAGTCAGACCCCACACAGAGAGGCACAACTTGTTCTTGACCAAAAAAAA